ACATTATGATAATAGAAGTATTGTGACAAACTGTCCTAAATTGTGATAAACTGTGATAACATGTGATAAATAGTTTTCGTGTTACCAACTCACAACATATTGATCACTCAAATCATATAACAAAAACAATTATTTGTGCATATCGATTCAAACAATTATTAGTGATCCCAGGAAATGTGATAATGGTGTGATAAATGTGTTACCGGTGTGATAAATGTGATTGATATACATGATCAAAAGCAAGTTAATTGCTAGCAAATCTCAACTCAAACTACTTCTGAATCTCTTAAAGTGGTGTGTAGCTAGTGATGAAGAGTCGAGTTCATATGATAAGAAAATGCAAATGCAAATGCAAATGCAGAATTTTGCAGTCTGATAAATTGTGATAACTTGTGATAAACTCTGCTACCCCTATGTTAGAGTATGTTACACCTTTATACTAAAGTTATTGTGTGTATGTGATAATCAAATGTAATATAGTTAATCATGTGATAAACATATGCAAATGTTAGTGTCAAGTAGTTGGATGAACTTACATCTGAGAGCCTTCCATAGCGAATATTAGGTTAGAAAAGATCAACTCAACTTTTGTGTTAGGCTGATGTGCGTCCACTTGTCTATTCATATACGATGAACATATTTTTTCTCCCGCCTTTGAAGCTCTTTGACCAATGGGACCGGTGTATATCTCACTTATTGGTTTCACATTAGGAACAACATCATTTTCATTTATGTTACGATCATTTTCCTTCGGATCAGCAACTTCTCCAAACTCTTGAGTGAGACCTAAACTAAAATCCGACATTTGTAACTTCTCATATACTTTAATTGTTTTGTCAACCCCCTTAATTGTTTCTGGATCTGAGAAGAATTGTGTCAGTGTCTCAACAATCTCTTGTACGCCCCCCGTAACACCTTGCCATGGATCACTAGTTGATGCTTGTTTTGTTCCACAACTTTTAGCAACTGACATGTTCATTGAGGCATCACAGTCCATTTTGTCATTTACTACCAAATCTATCAACTTTTTTTTTTTTGCCAAACATCAAACTCCACAGAGGCGGGGTATCTAGTCCTCCCTTTCTTTAGAATCTCATCGAAATCGCTCTTCAATGGCTTCAACATATTGAAAGTGTGTTCGACCTCATCCAAGTATCTCTGCACAAACCGACAAACAAATGACATGTGAATGTATTTTAAAAGTAGTGATTTTATTTCTTACTTTATGAAAATCATTTGATAACTATGGTGGATATATATGATAACTAAGTCGTGATAATCATATGATAAATAAGCAATGTGGCCATTTTTTACATTATACATTAATCAATTTTGTCCTAACTAGATTGTGATATGCAAGAAATCTGAAACTTATATGCATTAACCTAACTAGATTTGTGATAAGTCATATGATATGTAAGTTGTGATAATGATGTGATAACTATATAGATATTTTGTGATAAATATGTTGTGATAATCATGTGATAAGCAAGACATATTAATCGGTTCAAAATATTGATTTAATTATTATATAAAACAATGCAAATAAGTGATTTTATTTGTTACTTTATGAAAATCACGTTTAAAATCACGTGATAACTATGGTGTATATATGTGATACATAAGCTGTGTAATCATGTGATAAGTATGATATATCAATTGGTTCAAAATATTGTTTTCATTAAAATATAAAACAACGCAAATTAGTGTGTTATCATTTTTACCTTAATGTCAATTTCTTCGTTCTCTCTTGATCTATCTTCACGTTGTGCATCAACCAATGGTTCTACAACATTGCCAATCCCGAAACCACCGGTATAAATTTCTATTGATTCCCATCTTCTTAAAATGTCCATTGACCAACTTACAATGCACGGTCTTTCACATATGATACGCACAACATCACATTGAATGGTGTCAACGTACAAAAGCTTCATTTAAAAATGCAAGAAGTAAAATTCCTGTTACAATTTATATTTCGTGAATACTCATTCATAATAAATATCTATTGATAATAAATAGCTATATATATATATATATATTAAAATGTGATACGTAAACATACAATCAATGTAGTTAATGGACCACTGTAGTAACATTCTATTGGGACTGGCTTCCATCTGGTTTTGCTTATCTTTAAACACTTGAAAACATAATCACACCAATCGATTTTTGTGAAACAAGTTTTTTGTGATAGATATGAAAGAACACTTAGGTTACAAATGTCGTTCGATTTGCATTGGCCCATTACATTGCAGAAGACCGTTATGAAGTCTAGTTTGAAATTCCAATCACCATTATCTGAGGTGATAATCTCACTTACTACATGTGTGACACGTAAAGACTGCTTCGAATATCGACTTTTTCATTGCTCTACTATACTAACTTCGCAATTGTCATTAACTAAACTATCCAAAGTAGCTTCCCCAATTGGTGCACCAATCACGTCATATATTTTTTTAACCGTGATTGGGATCACACCGTTTTCGAGTTTAATCAACATGTTTTGAGGGTCAAAAGAATCAACTACATAATAGACAAGCTTTGCAGGTATACCGTCTGTCTTCATGTTCAGGAGGCCTTTAAACCCCATTTCTTTTACACACTCTATTAGTGATGGGGATAGATTTTGAATCATTGTATACATGGGTTTAGGCGATGTTCTGGTACGAAGAGCAAGATGGGTTTTAATCAGACCTTTGACATTATCTTCTCTTCCCTTAGCATCTCCTTCGACACTTTTTACCTTTTTCCTTATGTTTTCGTCTTGAACCTCAAAGTCGTCATTACCTTTAGAATCTTTCCTCGACTTTGGGGGCCTTTTACAAATAGTTTTTGCACAAAAATTATATTTTCTTATCTAAGATATCATGTTTTTTTACATGCTTTTTATATGACAACCAGTAATACATTTAACAAAATATAATATCATGTTAATCTAGTGCAATAATCACTAAATTGTGAAATCAATGGCATACGCGACATAGGCATAGTTATGGTACAATTCATGTCATTCATATTACCAATTTTTTTTGCAAATCTCATTGTTATTAAAGAAAAAAAAATAGTATTTTTACCTTTTCTATTTGAACAATCAATCGCACTTTGTTTCGCTCCAACGACGTTCAATATCGCAACTTTCCATGATCAAATTGAGTGTGCAAGTGATGTTATAATAGTGATATCACATGATTATCACACCCATATCACACCAAATCGTTTAGTGGATTTCGCCTTTAATCGTTGTGATAAATGTGTGATTGTCTAATCCTAACCTATGGAAATCATCCGAAATCGTTGTGATAAATGTGTTGTGATGCCTAATCTAACCGATCGAAACCATGATCAAATCGAGTGATAGTGATATCACATGATTATCACACCCATATCATACAAAATCGTTTAATCGATTTCGCCCGTAATCGTTGTGATAAATGTGTGATTGTCTAATCCTAATCGAATGAAAGCATATTCAAATCGAGTAATTGTGAAAGATATCTTGAATAAACTGTGTTCTACGGCTTCTTCTTGCTGTTCGATTGATGCATGCAAACCTTAAGATTTCTTCTTGCTGATCGATTATTGTTTGATGTTCGATTCCTGTTTGCTGTTTGATTCCTGCATCCAGACTTTACGCTTCTTTGATCTTCGATTTCTCCTTGAAATCAACTTCTTAATCGATACCTTCTAATAAAGATAATTGTTGAATTAAATGGATAATCACTCTAATTTTGAGGATTATAATGTGATTGTGTATTCGTGTTTAAAACTTTATGATTTTGAATCTCAGTTTTTTTTCTTTGAATCTCTTTAAATTTTAATTTCAAAAATCTTTTAATTTTAAAAATCTTTTAATTTTAATTGTTATTCACAATATGGGGTTAATAGGTTGTTCTCGCGTTCTTGTAAATCACAAGGGTTCTCGTTTGAACCCTTCCCTATATATATATATATATATATATATATATATATATATATTGATTTCAACATATCTAGAGATGGATATATATCTATTATTTTCTGTTTTTGTTCTTTAGGATACAAACGGTTTCCAAATCTTCAAGGTTCGTTTATTTACGCTTCAATCTTTGATTTTTGTTTGGTATTTCATTTATTTACCCTTGAATCCGAAGTTTTTGTTTTGTTTTTGTTATCGATTCGAACAGATTTTAGAGATGGATATATTTGAAGCATGTCATATCATAAAAATTTCTACAAAATTAATTCATACTTCAAATGCAATGAATTAGATTCGTCGTAGGTTTTGATTCGTTTTGTTTAGGCAAATTTTTGTGAAAGCCTTAACTGGTTCTAATACCATTGACAATCAATATTTCCTTTTTGGTCCATAATTCTCAATCATCTTAGATTATTAATTTTGTAAGATGAGGTTGAAATGGAGGACATATTTGGAGCATGTCGAGAAACGTTTATCTGAATGGTACAACCACCTCCACCTGCAATAGAGAATGCTTAATAGTTTTTACTTGTTCTCTGTGATATATTTTGAACCAAATCTTCTTGTATTGTATGTTACAAAACAAAACTCCATTGTCAGGCTCAGCAGCATAAACTTAGTTTCTGCAAGTCTCCTAGTACTTTGAATAAGGATATTTTAATTGAATCTTCTACCACAAAAGAAAGAGAAAAAAGATTGTAGGTGTAGGTGTAGGTGATCTAACTTTGTAATGCCTAACATATGGGCTTTGGTTGACTATCTACTATAGTCATAGTGGAATCGAATGTATATTCTTTCACTTCTATCAACTGTTATATTAAGCATTCTTTGTTTGTGGTTACCTAGGTTTTCAGCATACAAGCTTTGAGGGTCTTAATATAGGACGATGAATTCTTTCTCCTAATATGGAATCTGCAATGTTCATCATGAATCTGGTAAACACATGATGGAGTCCCGACCTTAATCCCTGCAAACCTCCTTAAATAATACTTTTATCAAATATATAACAAAAACAGGTAGGAAATAAGAAAATTACAAGACATGATCACAAAATCCATATCCATCGCATACAAGCAAATATAATGCATTACATATACATCCCTACATGCAACATCATAACTCGACATATATACTGTTTTCTTTTTCATTTTCAATTGGATACATATTTAACACCGTAAAAAAAAAAAAAGTATAAAACTCACAGAAACCACCGCAAATATACAAAGATCGGATCACTTGATCGATTATGGCTCAATCTTGAGGAGGGAGTTGAGGGATGTACTATTGAATCGTTGAGCAAAGCCTCGGATCACTAGTACGATCACGTCTCTCAGGTGTCGGGTTTGAACCATCAAGCTTACTTCATTCTCACTATCCACGACAATCCTCAGCCGATGTTGGTCGTTACCAAATATCTCCACCTACATAAGTTCATGCCATAAAAACTAGCTTATATATTCGATAACCTGTATTGGATGGTTAAAAATGAACTGCAAAACATACTTTCACAAAAAGAGAATCTCGTATATTGGGCAACCCGAAATAGAAAGGGTTGCATTTTTTTTTTTGGAACAGAGGGAGTAACATACTAAATTTTGTAGTGCATAAGGGTTATTTAACCAGCAACCCCGAGCTGGCCCACATCGGTCCACCCAAGAGCACTATGTGAGTGGCAAATGAGGTACACAAAGATCTGCTAGGTGGCTTAAGAGCCCAATGTCCACAAGGAGCCCAATCCCCAAAGGAATTGTGATCCTACACTGTGTTTGTTAAACTCGAACCCACGAAAGTCGGTGCAATCACACCATCCCTAAACCAATTATATTACGCTTGGGGGCTTGCAAAAATTGTTATTATTAAAAAAATGCATCATATTCCCTGCATCCCAAAATAAGTGTACACTTTCAAAAGTGTCTAATTTTCAATTCTATCCTTAACTGTGAGATAAGGTTTCTTAACTCTCTTATCATCAAGGGGAAAATTGTCATTCAGTTTACAAGATCCCTAAACCTGTGTGCCTTTTTAATTGTGGACATTTATTTTGGGACGGAGAGAATATTAAACTTAAGTGAAATCACATACATGGAAAGGAGGGGTATAGCTTCCACGAATTTCAGTTGTTGGGAAGGAAGTCTTGGAACCAGGCTTCACAACCTTCACTCTTTTCCTATTAACTTCCAATATTCTTCTCTCAAGAGTACCCAATCCAGGAACCTTCAATAGTAAATGAAAAAAACAACTCAGGATATTTTCAACATGCCATTTTGCCCTCGAATGTATCAAGGATACAAACAAATCAATAACGATGTACCTTCTTTGAAGATCTGTCCTTGTCACATAATGCCTGTTGAAAAGACAACGTTACGAGGCTTGAAGTATGAAACATTTTGCATACGCCTTTGGCAAATGCACATGTTTTTGGTCAACTTATCTTTATAATCAATGGCAATCTATCTAGTAAACTCAGCCAAATGCTACAACAGATCTGCTTACGAAGACTATTTATAAAATGATCTAATTATCTAATGCCAATTAGTGAATGATGTTAATTTCCACTTCAAACTTGCAGCCACTTACAAAACTCATAGAAAAATAAAGACGTAGACATGTCATAGATGAAACTGTCTGTATATGTGGCATACCAGTATGATCAGCATCATCAGCAAAGAAAAGAAACTGAAAGGGAATGATCAATTCGCTTGGCCACAATAACGAGACACAATAAACAAATGAGGATTAACAAATTCATACCTCAAACTTCACAGAGCCAAGATCAAGCTTCTGTTTGACTTCTTTAAGCACGTCAGGTTCTGCAAATAGGTATGGTGTTAGTTGGAGAAAAAACATTTGAGCTTGCAACAAATATCTCATATCAGGTACATAAAGAATAATTGCAAAAGTTGGAGCATCATATATACGAGGGAGGATCAAACGAGAACAATAACTAAATAAGAGAATATGAAAACGGCCAAATCACGTGCAAAATCACGTCATTTTACATTAATGGGCAAAAAAAAGGCGTGCGGGCGACTTTGACCACGCATTTGAGATATTTAAGAATATTTCTTAAATAAACTAAAAGGGTAATATAGTAATTCTATTTTTGACAACTAATCATAATATTTAATTAAATTTTTTAGAAGGAAATATTTAATTAAAATTAGTTACCTAGTATATCAATTACCTAATATACATTGTATTTTAAAGACGTTTGTGAATCAAAGTATATCATAGTGATAACATTTACAATGTTTCACGTGTATCACAATGCATTTTCTTAGTTTTATGAAATGTATCATAGTGTGCATTTTCATTATCTTCATTGCTTTACAAAGGGTATCATATTGTGCATTTTGTATGTATATCTGGATATCACAGTGAATATCATTTGTAGGTATCACAGTGTGTATCTTGTGTTCACATAAGGTTCATCGGAATAAGGTTCGCCGAATAAGATTCGCCGGAGAGATGAGAGAGGATATTTATAAAATCCCTAAAATGCCCTTAATTAATATTTTAAGTTAAAATTACCAAAATTATTAATTTCCTAATTTAACCTTTGATTTGTGGTTGAGATTGGATCTCACAGTTACCACAAACAAAACAGTTCTCATTTGATTAAGCCCCTATATATGTATGTATATATATGTATGTGTGTGTGTGTATATATATATATATATATATATATATATATATGATGTTAGAAAATTGCAAGAAACCCAATAATAAAGAAGTAACTAGAATAAAACCCGACTGCGACAAAACAGAACTCATCTGCAGTGTGGTGATTTCAAATGGTGGGTTTAGGGTTTAAGGTTTAGCATTACAGGAGCATAAGGTTCTTGTGTTGGTAATATGACATGGAAGCCAATCCGAAACCACATACCCCTTGGAATTGATTTACATGGACTGAAGCAGAATCAACTTATATGCACTTTCCCTCTCAGATGTCCCAATTTAGTTGTAACTTTCCTCGTAAAAAATTGTTCAACCATTTACAAAATATTAATACGGCTCTAGGTTTCTTTTAAGCATGTAAAGTCAATTGACCAAGCTATCTTGTGAGGGGGTCATTTTAGCCTATGAAGCTCGCCTATCCTCTGAGAGTTTGAAGGTTGAGGGTTCAACCAATAGTTCTTGTTAATATGAACAACGAATAAATAAATAAAGAACAAGAACTATCATTTGTTTAATGTCGTCCATAATCACATGCAGAACAGCAGAAGCTCTTTAATTTATCTATCCTGTAATTTTCTGGTTTACCTGATTAATAACATACAGTTTTTTAACCCTAAAGGATGATCGGCCCATCTTTCTCAGCAAATATCAGTTGCACTTATAGGCATACACATAACCCAAACCGATGAGAAGGTTAGAAACCATGACGGTAGAGGGGGAGTGGAGAAGGGGCAGGCCGAGGAGGACATGTAATGAGCAGCTGAGGATAGACATGAAAACCCTAGGCATTTTCCGAGGACATGACCCCTTGATAGTCAATAGGAGTTCGCGGAAACACACAATTAGAGACCAGTAGCTAGTCTAAGCGGGAAGAAGGCGGCTCAAGAGTAGAGGATCACGGTAAGGTAGTGAGCCGAGAGATAGGCAACCCGAGTCCTAAGATAGACTGGGGGATGTCTTGTTGTCTTACCTTCATTATGTTTGATCCTTTGGTGCTGCTTACTTTTCTCTAGCCTTTACGTTCATTTCAATTTTTGTTCCTAGCCTTACTCTTCTTTCCTTTTTTCACTTTTTTTTTTGGTTCAGCCTTTTCAGGCAAGATTCTCTTCTCCCACACACTTTTTACAAGTCAGGGATCTTCACAGAAACAATCACTTTACTCTTTGGGGTAGATGACAAGTCTGCTTACCCTCAGGTTTGGGATATACTAGGCTTTTTTGGTTTGGTTTGGTTTGGTTTGGTTTGGTTTACATATCCCAAACCAAGAACAACCACATTTTCATTTCATATACCTTTTAAAATATAATCTTAACAATAGAACAGATTGGAAAACTTAAAAACGAAATTTTAAGCATATATAATACAACCACCAATGGTGGTATGAATACATACAACTACACTATGTGCTTATCATATTGCATTTTGGGTTTATTATTTTTATACTCTGGGGTGTACCTTAAAAGATTATAAAAACAAGCTACTCTAATTATAAAAAATGGTGGATAAGAGGCAATAGAATTGTTCAAGTAAATCAATAAGCAGTGCAAACTAAAATAAAAAATTAAATAAAAGCTCAAATAACAAATTAACATTAACTTGAACAACATGAATTAGAGATAATATATATATATATATATATATATAGTTATACACACACACACACACACATATATATATATATATAAATGACAACCAAACATAGAACCATTAAAACATTTAAAGAATAAGTTTGGAGAAGATAAAACTGGTTCAGGCTTACCAACAGTTATAGGTTCAGTTGAAGCAGAAACTGGATACCCCTCAACCCCATCTTCTCTTACAGGAGTATATATTGCAACCAGCCGATAGCCCACATCATCAACATTCGCTTCATACATCCTTCCTGTCTCACCTGCAATAAAAAAAACAAAGCATCTCTAATACAGAACCAGGAACTTGTGAGTTTTTAATATGCAATAAAAAAACACATTCGTGGTTTCAGAAAAACACATGAAGCGGCGTAAGCCGCGAGGTGAGGCTTCCCAAAATGGCACTTGAGGCGCACCTGTGAATCCCCATACGAGAAGTATGCCTCACTACAAAGGCTAAATTATTTTAAAAAACGACTGAAACCTTCTCGATTTCTTTTTTGAAACCTCTAGTTCTCCTAAGCCCTATTTGCTACTCGTGCAAGTTCCAGTTTTCTCCCATTTTCTTTGCATTTTTTCTTTGATCTTCTCCAGTTCACCAGAGTATTATGTATATGTATATACTAGATATATGTCGTTTATATTTAGGTGCCATTTACCCAACACTTGCCCGGTAAGCACTTACCGGGTCACTTACTTTACCGATTGAACATGGCAAAGACCGAGAATTTTACCCGGTAAGGGCGATGGCAAGGACTGAGAGTCTTACCCAGTAAGTGAGGGTGATGACTCTTACCCTGTTAGCGCTTACTGGGTAAATTGTTGCATGCGATGCTGTTTTAAGGACTAAAATCTTACCCAATAAGGCAAGTGATAGTGTTGAATCTTACCGGTAAGAGCTTACAGGGTAAGTGTTTGATAAACGGCCCCATAGTCTCTACTATGTGTCATTGTCATAGTCAAACTTCTACTCCCACTTTGTTGATACTTTAATGTTTTTTCATATATGTGCTGTGAGCATATTAATATATATATATATATATATATATATATATATATATTATTAATAGATCAATGTTTTTTTTTCCTTTGTTACTATATATATATATTTCGTGATTGAATTTTTTTTTTGGAGATTCTTTTACTAATTTAGTATGATATATATTTTGTGTCTAGTACATAAATCTCTTTTAGCAACTGCATATATCTTGTGTGTATAAGCAGTGGAATGCAGATCGGTAAAGAACATATTCTGTAGTTATATTATATATATAGGGTCAGGTTAAGGGGAAAAACTACAAAAAAAATATAAACCGAGGAGCCCACTGGTTACTAGGGTGTTCCTCAGTTTTTCATTTTTTTAGAGTTTTCCTCTGAACCTCCGTCTATATATATAGGGAGAGGTTCAAATGAGAAGACCTAAATATATGAGAAATAGAGAAGCAATACTAGCCATTAGATTAAATGATCAAGTTTTATTAAATGAAGGGTAGTATGGTAATTAGCAATTGTATCACCGATAGAATTAGAGCGGCATAGGGATCTCAATTCTATCATCGACTTTTTCCTGATTCTTTCTTGATCATATATCACAATTCTATCATCGATTATATATCGCAAATCAAAATTGGTTTTATGGCAATTCTATCATCGACTTTTTTTCGATTCTTTCTCGATCATATATTGCAATTATAGGTTATCAAGATTATCAATTTCTTAATTCTTTCTCGTTCAAATGCCGTATTTTTTCAATATGAATCCAAATCCAGAAAGCGATCTTGAGCAAAATGTTGATTTTGATCCTAAAACTATAATGCAATATGTGAATATAAGATTAATTTGTGGATAAATTAAATAGTTCATATGTGAATCATTCGGGTTCACATATGCACATAACAATGAAAATATGAACTAAATAAGTTTCATATATGCATTACTGTTTCATTTTGAGATTGTCTAGTAAATTCACAATTGAAGAGGACCCAAAGCAATTGATATCATATGAGAATCTATGATTTCATATGTGAATCAAATGGGTCCACATATGCACATATAGTTCATATGTGAATCACAGGGGTTCATATATGCACATAATATAACTTGTTTGCCGCCTATTTGTAAAAGTTACGAAACTACCCCTTTATCTTCCACATAGTTGTTACCATGTGACCCAATTATGTGGTGTTGCACCAATTAGCACCTCAAATCTTGACCATTAATTTTTTAGTGAAAGGGCTAGGATCACTTCTCTATTTCTCATATATTTGATGTTTCTCAAATGAACCTATGGCTATATATAAGGTTGGGTTCTGTAACAGCCCATTTTCGGGTGTGCTTATGATAAGGAAATGCAAATGTGTTATTGACTATTGATAAGTTTTGAGATTTAACTAGACTTTTTCGTTAGTACATTCTAGAATTTCTAAGGTTTCATTAAAGATCGAATTTCGGAAAGTAACCTATAATGTTAATTTGTAATAAACATTACTAATTGATGCGATCAGTTACTAATCGGTCAATGTTAGTGTATCGATGGTTAAATCGAAAGTATATCGTATTGGGTATAAATTACATTCTTATATTAATATGTAGATAAAAATGAGATGGTCATAATAATACTATTGTTATAACAAAAAGTTATTATTAGCAACGTATTTATTTATTTATTTTCTTATAACAAGAATTTATAATAAAGTAATGATTCAAATAAGATTAAGTAGTAGTAATATCTATATCTATATATATATATAATATATATATAGGGGTGTGTGTGTGTGTAGAAGGGATATTCAATGAAAATAATAATAATTAGAAATAAAAACATAAAATTGCAGTCTTTAGTGGGATTAGGTGTCTTAAGTTGGTGAATAGGTGACTTAGTGGAGGATTAGGCGTCACTATATTGGAGATTATGTGAAGAATGCATAATTTATATTAATTAAGAGCATGACACCTTTCCACAGTCATTATGAGATTTCTTATTTAGTGATCTAGAGCATAAATAAGAGAATTTCCTCTTATAATTCATTCTTCAAACAAAACTAAGCAGAATTTCTCTCTTAAAAAGCATATATAAGCTACAAAAAAAGAGGAAGCAATAGGAAAGGGTGTTGAAGCAAAAGAAGTTATAAACAACATCAATTTTAGCTTCTAGATAGCCATATAACCCAAGATGATCACATGTTTTTGTTTACAAATGTGATACACAATATGTAGTTATTTACAAAACATGATTATGAATCATGCTTAGAGTTTATGACATGAATCTCATATCATTACATGATTTTATGCAAGAAAACTTACGAATCATGATCTCATTGAGAACATGTTTGCATAATCATAACATAAATTTCAATGATTTTCCAAAACAGAAAGTTCAAAGCAAAACATATCACTATTTTGGACATGAAAACATAGTTATGTTGTGAAAAACTTCATATATACATATTCATAAGCATATGCATAAAAATTATGTCATTCTTGAAAGAATGTTGATAAAAGAGTATGTGGATTTACACAATCCTCGATTAGGGATCCGGCAAATATTTTTGCTTAAAAATGTATGTGTATCACAGGTAAGGATTAAGAGAGGATTCAGGATTAGAGCTCTCAAGAGTGATCATAAGAGTTGTATAGTATTGACAACGATAGGAACTGTTGTAATGTGGGTATTAGCTTTTATGTTTCGTTCGTTTCCGTGATCGTGCAATGTTGGCTCCATCTTTTGTAGAAGTCTTAAGATGATTAAATTATGTTTTTAATCACTTCCGTAAGTTTTTACTTTATTTGAATTAGTTTATATTATGTTTTAAGAATTATTAATAAAGAAACAAGTATAACACACCATTTGGGTCTCGATTTCGAGTCTCAAAATGGGGTGTTACAAGTTCCAGTGAGAATGAGAGTTAAGGTGATAAGCGTAAGAAGGGATCTCCATCCTTGGATGCACATTAGAATGAGACGCACCGAGATGCATCGGATCTTCCCCGTATCAAGCGCGATTCATGGGTGGGTTTGAGATTAAAGATGATCAAGGGTCGAGATCCCTTCTTATGCTTCTCACCTTAACTCTCCTTCTCACACGATCCTTCGTCTATATATATATATATATTGGTATATATATATCCGCCTCAGGGCTTACGCCTCTCCTGGTTGAGAGAAAACGCCTTGAGGCCCAATTCCGCTTTTTAAAACCTTGAACACATCTTATAGTTCCCCCCACTGCACTCCCCTCATCACACATCAACTCCCACATACCCCCAGAATCAGATTGAAGCAGGCTATTAGACCATGTAGTCAGCGAGCTATACTGACAGAAGGCATGGTCTTGGTAACTGGAGATATCAAAATGCGACTGTAAAAGGCAGTAAATTTTCTTTTGTTATTGGTTGTCTTCCGTGGACACTAGGGTTTTTAGTAGTTAAGGTTTAATAATTGTTGGATATTAGTCCACCCTTGTCCCGCATAGGAAAAAGAAGGAACTTTTCATGTGTTTATATTGCTTTACACACATGGATTAGCAAGTTAGAGAGAGGCCCAAAGGAAGGATTGACCTTGGGCTTGGGTGTAGTAATACCCAATATTAATGGTCAAAAGATGGGCCTTGGGGCTCAAGACGACATCCGTTTATCAATGGACGATTGGGGGCGAAATTTCGTCTTAGGACACTGTTTCGGCAGGCCTCTATCTCACGATCTTTGTATATAGATATCATCGTAAAGGTTAGAATTTTACTAACTTTCTTGGTTAATTTTCTGATTATTACTGTTTTAATTTTAGTTTGGAAGGGTAATTCTATAATTCGTTGATCTGGTTCTAACAATAAGAACATATCTATTACCGAGGGAATACAAAAATATATATAGTATGTCATATGGTTTCATGGTCTAAACAGATGAAATATAGAATAATAGAATATTAGTAATTCTAACAGGAAGGTTCCATCCCCCTTCTTCCACAAACATAAACATAAAACATACATCAATGATTGGAGCTGTAATAAACAAACAGCAAATGATATTTGTAACAAAAGTAAAAGCAGCCGGGCGATATATAATAAATACATGATAGAACATACCTGGAATAGAAATTAAATCTGGACTGCCAACCATTGATCTAAGCCATTGGATTTTACTCTTACCCTCCTTCCCTCCACTATAAGTACCACGTACCGCATACAAGTTGGTATGAAAACCTCTGCCTTCAATTTCCAGCTTCTCTATTTTAGGAATCCCTGAAAAGCAACAAATCCTTGATTGGAAACCTATCTATTCTACAAAAGTGCTCCCAGAAAAATAATATGATCCAAGAAACATTTAAGTTAATAGAATCTATGAATTCAAGAGGCCAGTGACAGAAAACTAGTCAACATAATCAACCATTAAGCTACCCATATTATGTGGCTGAATTGCACTATTGTACCATGATCGAAAACTAGGTCAGAAGGGGTAAAACCTGAATCCTCCACTGGAATTAATGAAGTTTAATTTCAGTATCCCTAAAATACACAAATTGAATGCCTGCTGCATGTTAAATAATATCCAACAACTGTTAAACTTCCAGCTTACACAACTCTTTTAAAGTGATTGGTTGTTTAAGGGTTGTTTTCCAAACCTTACCGTAATTTACACAAATGGAACCAATACACAAAAAGTAGTATAAAAAAAAATCAAAAAGCAGTATAATAAAGAAATCAAATTTGACGGTCTGTAGTTCCAATCTGACAACATTTGAGCACATAGCTCATCTGGCTAGCTTGAATGGAATTACCACCCTAATTCTTGATTTCAAATCCAATAACCACTTTTAAAGCATCAGGATTCCAACTCTCAACACATGAACCACAAGATGTAGCAAGTAGAATAGTAACAATAGTCAGATAAATATAAACATGTGAAATAGAAACAACTTATTATTTTCTTTTAACACACAGATTCAGAAGAAGTAATCTTCCAGTAAAGAAATAAATTAGTAGAGAACAAAACTAGATTTAACTGTTGAAATGGGAAAAGATAATAATGGTAACAAGTGAAACCGTGGTACCCGGATGAGAGCATCGATACACCGACGAATGTTCCCAAAAAGTTAGGAATTAGTTTCCTAATTTTATAGAAACTAGGAAACTAAATTATTTGTAATATGTTAACTGTCGTATAGGGGTTTCAAAGGAGTTACTTTCCTAATCAAATTGTATAGCAGTAGCATGTATGGTCTTTGACTTGATCAATTATGGAAGAAGATTAATTTTTTTTAGTAGATAAAAGGAGGTACCAATGTTAGAAATTCATTTATCTTCTCATACTCGACCAGACATTGGTTTTATGATGAGCACAGATAAACAGTTCATGACTAATCCTATGGAAGAACACATGAATGCAGTATACCAGATTCTCAAGTATCTAAAGAAAACCCCTGAAAAGGGGGTATTGTTTAGAAAAACTGACTACCGACTGAGATGTAATGTTGTACTTTGATGCAAATTAGAGAGGAGTTCAGACAGATAGCAGGTCTATAGCATATTGCTCCATTGTATGGGGAAATTTTTTCACTTGGCAAAGTTAAACAGTCAGTGATCACCAGGAGCAGTGATGAGTCAGAACTAAGAGCACTTGTTGTCACAGTTTGCGAAGGGATATGAATAAGGCAAGTAATAGAAAAAATGACGGCGGAATTTGGAAAAGCTATGAAGCTCAAACGTGATAACCACATGACCCAACATTGTGAAGGATACCGTTCATCATGATCAAACTAAGTATGTTAGTATTGATAGACATTTCATTGCAGAAATAAAAAAAGACAATTATGAAGTACAAGTGATATACACGCCAACGTGGGAACAATGTGCAGATATTCTGATAAAGGATCTTCAAGGACCTCACTTTAAGAGATTGTGTAGCAAGTTAGGCATGTAAGATCCAAGTTGAGGGGGAGCATTGAATTTTCCCACAAAGTTAGGCATTAGTTTCCTAATTTATAGAAATTAGCAAACTAAATTAACTTGGTATATATTAACTAATTTATAAAGGTTTTAAAGGAGTTAGTTTCCTTATCAAATTTATAGTAGTAGGTAAATATATATGGGAGGGTTCATGTTGAGAACCGCAAATGATTTGAGAACCATGAAACTAATTTTATAGTGTGTATTAACTGATAAATATACACTATATAAATTCATCAAAATATGTATATTGTCAACGTATATTCAATGATGAATATGTTCACTTGTATTTGTTTGATGACAATGAGTATGTTTAACAATGAATATACACTAAAATGAGTTCCCTGGTTCTCAAAATGTTTGCGGTTCTCATGTGAACGGTCTATCTCTCTCTGTCTATATATATAGCATGTATGATCTAATTCTGTCAGTCTTTAGATACAAATGGTAATATGCATACTCACAAACACACAAAGACAAACTTAAATCATAAAATTGAGAAGCAAAAGATAAGAAACAGAAATAAAGGAAGTCAAGAAGACCTGGGGAAATGGGAGCAGTTTCAACATATGCTGGCTCACTAGATCTTCCAAATGTATCTGTCACAATGCACTCGCATTTGAAGCAACAACCAATGTCGTCAAAGCGCAGCTTATAGGAGCAAGAACTTTGTGATTGTACGGGCTCAAAGGCTTTGGTTCCCATTTCAGAAGAAAAATACCTGTTAGTTAACATAGTATGATAAGATAAGCACTCACCGAAAATACAAAACAAAACAAGAAAGGGAACATTTCAAAAAATAGAGAAAAGAAACAAAACAAAGAAGTGTCAGAATATAAGGGAAAGACAAGTCCCACAAGCAAGCATATTCATGCCATTAAGTTTTACAGTGTAGAGCTATACCACTGGTATCTGACATGTTTCTTGTACTTTTGCCAGACGTTCTGCTGAGGATCACTCTTTGGGATAACTTCAATAGCAGTCAGTACTTCCCCCTCAACTGCCTTACCAGTAAGAGCAAGCATCTCAATTCTCGGAAGCTCTGAAATGCAATGTAATGTTCAATTGAAAAGTGAATATAACGCTTCAGCATCCTTAGTTGAACATACATACTCCATGTCCACTACAAGCCATTCCCACATTATTTATAACAAAAACATAATTGCCAAAGAAGATGGCTGAACTTGTTAGATAAACTTCCGGAAATCAAAAAAACAAACAATATAGCTCCACATCACCCACCGAACGTTTCACCAGGACCACACATAATCATTTTACAGCTGAGAGCTAGATGTCGCTAGTAGCAAAATGGCCCTTCTTACCGAATTGTCCAGGTTCAAATCCAAATCCTAACATTACAAACTAATTTTAAGTTTCAGACATGGAATTAACATCATCAATGCTACATAGAACTCATATAGAGAACGCAGCTTATTAATGCACTGGGAAAACTTAAAGATGAGGTTCAAGGAGACAAAAAAATAATTGTATTAAGCAAGACCTGTGTTTTTCCCAAAAATTACTATCTTATAGACTTGGTAAATTACTAATTTACTATGTTGATCCGAAGTTGGAAAGGGAACAAAATATAATTAAGTAGAGGTTGTTAATGAATACAGTAATACTTTATCAAGGTTGCATACACATACATGTTATATGCATAGAAAAACCCTGCTTCAAGAGGCAACATACTTGACTGCATTTTCATTAAAGTACAAGTACTCTCAAAGGTAGTCTTTGTGGGAAAAGAACAATTGGAGAAATAAAGATGATGACTAACACTGTTTATAGTCTTTGTATTTTAGTAAAATGTAGCCAAGTTGGCCGCATCTTAACGGAGTTATGTTTTCCCCAATCCAAACACACACACACGCACGCACACACACACACACACACGCATATATATATATATATATATAATATATATATATATATATATATTAGAAGCCTCAACAAAGATTAAAGCAAACTGAACTCCAGATTGAAGAAAAGGTGGTGCAACTGCCTCAGAGAAAATACAGATATAACCCTCGGAGGAAATACAGGACTGCAACATGATATCAGTACCTGGGAGAATCACATCAGTTGGCTCAGACAATTTCAGTTCTCCCACAACCGAATCAGAACGAACTGGTGTATACCTTCAAAATGCAAAAAAACAAGTTTTCATAGATGTACAGAAATTTCTCTAAAGCAGTCCTCACTATGTTTGATGCTTCTATAAATGATAACTAACAAAAAATGTGGAGTAAGATATAATTCCTACTGATCTTTTAGAACCAAAAAGTTAATCCTTCATCTTGATTGCTTTTTTTATATTGCGGTGTCATGACCGGGTTTAGGATAGAGTGGAATGAGTTGATTAGATTATAAATAATAAAAAATTTCACCATTCAACTACTTTCAATGAATATTATGTTTCAAGAGTTCAACCTATGTATTACTACTGCCACCAATTCTGCCAGAATGTGCTTCTTTGTTATAGTATACCACATCGTTATGAGTTACAACAAGGACTCCCTTGTGAAATTTTGAGTCTCATAATTACAAGCCATTAGCCAACCATGAAAGTTCATAAAGCCCAAGGTTATGATATGTCAACGGCAAGGTTAGAATAGTGAAGTATTTCATCTTTTGTGCAATGTTCATATAAGAATATTTTTTCATGTTAAGTTTTAAGAGAAAATCCAATTTGGTGGGTCGTTCTCTCTCTATTTATCTTCCTAACGGTATCATTTCTATGCTACCTTATTAACTATGGGTAAAGGCTTGTCGGATCGAGTAGTAAATAAGACAAACAATGTCTAGCTCCATTCTCTATCCTAGTCAGCCATCTAACTGATTCTGTTATTTTTCACTCTCCCTGCTTTTACTACTACCCCTTCTGCTTTACTATTTGTTGGAGTCCTACATCGGCTAATTGGACCATTTCTCCTGTATCAATGTTGGAACCTCCTATTTCTCCTCAAGGGCTCTTTTGGAGAGTGATCAGGGGGTTCCATATATTCTCACACTATTCATCTGCCATATCAAATACAATAAATCTGCAAAAGTAGATTTTTGCTTTCCTCAGACTGAAAGTGCAAATGTGTTTTGATTTCACCAGGATGGTTACTTGGGCTTGTTCACAGGCCGCATTTCGTTAATTTTAATCTATCTTATTTAAATCTAAAAAATTGCGGCATCACACCCTATTCTGTTCTCTACTCTCTACCAGCTTCTGAAACAAGATACTAGGGAACATGAAGTTGGAATCGCTAGTAATCACGGATCAGCATTCTGCGGTGAATATGTACACGGGCCCTATACAGACCGCCATCACACCAACTTTTCCTCCTGTTTGTAATTGGAATAAAGCTGGTACTAAACATTTGAAAAATAAAAACTAATTTACAATTTCACGATTTTCATGATTTCAAGACAGGCATTTTTCACAATGGATAGAAGAACTTTATAGTTAAAAAAAAATTAATTGTACTATTTATATTAATCGATAAACTAATTTCAAGTACATGCACAAATATCAGCAGTGAATAAGAACAAAGGTATAGTAATTACCCAAACAACAATCGGCAATTGTAATCTGAATCTGAAACTTCATAAGTTTTGCAGTTCGCACCATCAATAAGAATAGTTGTTCCCTCCATTGTTTCTCTATACCAACTAAAGATGCTTGATCCTTCATAACCACCGAAGTATTCTCCATCACCAGAATAGGTGCTTAAGGACAACGCCTTCACACTAACTTTGGAAACTATAGGAAGGGCTGTCACGACATTTGACATCAATATGTTAGAGATATACCATAAGTAGGTGAACAGATATGTAACTTGGCATCATTCCAGTACGTGATAAAGGAACATGAGGCTACCTGGACTCACTGGATTGTTACAGATGGACAGCAACGGTTCCCCAGATTTTCCATCTGCACGAGTTGGGACCCAATACAAAGCCAGATAAGCACCCACATCCTCCAATGATGGAGTGTATGTTCTGTCAAAAGATTACATTAGCCAAAGGGGTGCAGACTAGATAAAAATAAGTTATCATGTGGAATCACACTCACAGAACTTACAATGTTTTCCCACATGTAGTCACATCCTCACAAGCATCTGATATATCCCTGAGAGCCGATGCATCAAGCTTGGACCGGGTTCTGTACCAAATATAATTTCCATCCCCTTCTTGTCCACCAAAGTATGTCTTCAGAGGAACCACAACCTTGTCCTCACAGCAATCAGGAATTAGAAGTTCCACACCCGTAGGATCAGCTGTCGCAGGAAATTAATAGATATTGAATATGAAAAGTCTCAATGGAACAAATTACTGCACATGCTTGTCAACAATCAACATTCAATTTATGATGTAAACATGATACGATAAATATTGGTAGAATAGGGAAGTTCTAAAAACAGGATCTTAGTAGGCCACAACATAATGTTATAAGTTGTTCCATGTCATTACTTGTTTTCCTTTTAGTAGAGCATGAGGCTAAGTTGATCTGAGAGGACCAATGCCAGTAAAAAAGTCAATCAGAATACACTAAATGGCTCCATGTCATTCCTTGTACATAATCATGTTATGGGTACAACAAGAAATGCACCCATGACCCATAAGGCATCAGCATGCAGATCAAGTATCAGCTCGCAGACCTCCTCAAGAAGCCACAAAGGAGACCAATTTTGCCACAAAGGAGACCAATTTTGTATGTGACACATTTGGTGTGATAGATATGTATTGTCCAACTTGAATATTTTTAGTTGCATCTGTGGCTTCTATATTGTAGTCTATTTTTATTGGGGTTGCTTTTCCTTCTCCTACTTGTATTTCATTCTCATCGCACAGGCCTATTACTATATACCCACTATTTATAGCCTTCCCCAAGTATAATGGCATTCCGTTTACCTATTATATTATCCACCCAAATTCTTGAGTGAAATACTACATAATTCTAATTAGAGGGTAAGTCATGGAGGGGAAATAGAGACTCGTTCCTAAAAAGTAACCTGAGATGTGTATCAGGTCAATGGCCGTTAGAAGATATAAACGGTCCAACTTGGTTGTGCAATGGGAAACTATGCATCATGTCGATCAGTGTGATATCATGCAACTACGGTGTGATAATGGAACACGTATACATATTGTGTCTAATTCTTTGTGTTCCATGAATAGTGACAGAAGATTTAAGGATGGTTGTGATTTACTTGAAAGAAACTTTAAGAGTCAGCCCTACTGACCACTGGCCACTCGAACACATTAAAACAACTTGCAGATATTTTAAACGGATAATAGATTTGTCAGGAGCATAAAAAAAATTGTTCTTATTAGTTAATAGTATATTTGTCGGACTTGACTGATAGACCATGGTCCCTATTATTATCACATCTTATCTCACTCTTTTATCTTCATCACCATTTGGCTGCTTCATTTGATGGCAGTTAGTTAAATTTGCTTCATATAAATATTGTATGGATAGTATTTCCATTAAAGTGTAAGACCCATCTTAAACCAAGTACATGCACAGAACAATCAACAGCAGCAGCAATTTTGAGTTGTAGAAATTATCATTATTACTCACTTGACTTATCATACTCATGCCATTCTGAAAGACAGAAAAAAAATAAGTAAGGAGCAAACATGCAAATATAAAGTATACACTCTCCATTTCCAAATTAGTTCACAGAAATATGAACCAAGTAGCTCACATAGACCAATTTTATATGTATTATATTTCTTGATTATCACCAGTAATTTTTTACTTTGTAGGGACTTGTTTAAAGTTTAATATAGTTCTTAATTGTTATAGAAGGTGTGAAAGCCATAAAATTGTATAGTTCAAAATTAACCTGTTGGTCATTCAAAATAAAAAATATAATGTTCCCCCTATCTGGAAGAGAAGGATAAATAATGCAAATTCAACTCACCTGGAGCAACAGGACCAGATACAATACTCTTTGGGCTCCCTTTAACTCCATCTCCTCGCACAGGTGTAAAAACAAGCTCCACACATGCTCCAACATCCTCTAAAGTCAAATCTAAATGCTCTGCTGAGAATATGCATCACTTGTTTAGCAAGTGATCAGGGTAACCAACTGTACCTGTAATGATGAGACATATCAACCGCAAACTCACCACCAGAATGTAGCTTCTCCTTGTACCCATTAGCCTTCACTCGAAACCATTTAAAGAAGCAAGCTCCTTTCTCCCTGATAGGAATAAAAAAACTTACTTTACAAAGAACACAACAAAGTAAACATGAAGCGGTATATTATAAGGCATCAAATTCTAAATTAATTGGTTGTGTTTGAATTGGCCACATAATCTTGTAAATTGTAGCTAGATTTCTATTCTCGACATGTGGGATATGTAGTCAAAACGTGAAGAACATATAACTGGGTGTTGAGGCCACATGTAGACATGATGTTGATGCAAAAGAGTGCATGTGGGCTGCTGGGCCTTGCCCACTGAACTAATCTGTCCTTCAACAAGATTATATCAGGTTATTCAATTAAGTTGGCGATGTGTGGAGAGCCCACTAGTATTTCATACAACATTGTTTTTTCATCCTTTTCATTCTGTCACAATACACACTACGTGCAGCTCCTTTTTAGGCATTCTAAGTGGATTTCCATTAACTGGGTTCTACCATATTATTGTCAAGGACCAGCATGCCCAATCAAATACCATATGAAGGTACCCAACAGAAGCAGTCAGCGGTAACCGAGTGGAGGATCATGTACATAGTAAAATTTATATTTATATGAGATCTCTACCCTCCACATCTTTATTGAACTTGTAAACAATGTCTTACCCTCCGCTATAAGATGCAATGAAGGTCAAACGCCCTCCTTCAACCATTGAGCCATGAAACTCGAGTGACTGGCAAGTTGGCGGCCCTGAAAAATAAAGCATCCTGAGTTTCCACAACTGTTATTGGACTAAAATTATGACGTCATTGAAAGAAACTTAATCATAGACATATTTCTAGTCAGGTGCACCTTGATAACAAGTTTATAATAAAATAAAATCAATGAATTATAATACTACAAAAGATTTCGCAGAATACCAGGAGATATTGGTCCAATCTGTTCAGATAATACAATAGGACCACGGGCCCAATCCTTTCTCACAGGTTCACAGGAAACTGATATAAAAAAGCCAATGTCCTCAGCTGAAAGCAAGTATGATGATGTAGTAGCATCTACAATTTCTTCTTGCATGCCATCTGAGCTAGTCTGCACATAGGACTGCCTATTAATTGAATAAATCTGCAACAATCGTCTAATACTGGTGCAACCCAGTTGCAATAAAAATAGCGTCTTCAAAAGATTGAGATTAGCAGTCTTATCAGCTGATGCAACAGCCCAAATTACTTTGTGTATGTTAGAAGATAAAATGATACATTCATGATTTATGGTTCCTTAATCCTGCCATGATGTAGAATATATAATCAGGGTTCCCCTCATAATGAGATTCACAACCCTCATTATATGTGGCAAGTGAGGCATGAGTACCATCTATGCTCCAACTTAGGAGTGTTGAAAAATGCATCGATGATTTAGTCATACGATTATATTGTTTCCATTTATTCTCCCATGATGTAAGATTGTAAAGTGTAAACCAATAATCAAATTTTCCCCTCATAATGTGGAGTAAGGAGTACAACCCAGTTATTTCAGTGTATGCTCAAAACAAAACCGTACACAAAAATTATCATGAATTAAAGAAGCAAAACTTCAGAAAGAGCTTTGTATGCCAAATTATCAGTAGTACCCTGAACCAGCGGAAAACAGAGTCTCCCTCTTCACCACCCCAGTACTGTTTGTTCACATATAGTGTCGTGCCTTCAACTGCAGTCCCAACCATGTGTAGAGACAGCAATCTAGGGCTTCCTGATTAGAGAAAATTATGACAAGAACCAGTGTTAGATTTGAAATTCAAAGAATTACAGAGGATTCTCCTCCAAGCATATTGCCATACAGAACACTTGCAAACTGACACGCATGCATAAAAACTTTATGTGTATATTTGCTTCAATGCTATAAGAGACAAACACAAGCATTCTGAGGGAAGCATATACTATGGGTCAATTACAAATAAACACATGACGAAAGAAATACACCTGTCAAGCTTTGCACTCTTTGAAATGAAATTTGAAATTTTAGACAGTTTGCAGAGACTCATGGTATTCACCCAATTGTGTAGAAAACCTCAGTATCAAGATGTGGCAGTCTTAAATAAGACTGGCAAAGGACATGATAGTGATTTGGTTAAAAACTAGCAGAACAATTTATAATTTTCAAACCAGTAGCAGATTTCCAAAGGTTTGCATACAAATAAAAAAATAAACATAGAAGGTGCAATTAAGAAAACATATTAACATAACATGAAGACAAATATGTACGTTGCAACATATACGACCAAAGAGAAGTTTCAAAACTTCTGTCTCAACGCTTATTCCTTTGAAGAACAATGATGTCGTGTTCACACTTGTATCCGTATAACTACTAATCACATAAGTTAAAAGTTGCCAGGTCATCATTGCTGATGGATCTTTAGAATCTTGCACATTATTAAAAAAAGTTTGAACCCAGTAAACTTCCATTTACCTTAAACAGATGAAAAAGAGAGCTACAGCTTTCCTTTTTTACAGTTCCAAGTGTCTAAAGATAGTTCAATCCAGGTTCATACACAACTCAACTTTTACACATACAAGTCTATCTAAGTAGGAGAACAGGAATCACTTCCTCTCATTCCTTCAGATGTGTGTACAGACAATAAAGCAAAGTGAAAAAGATAATTACCTGGCTGAACACGCTCTTGCCCCATGCAAGTTCTTGACTCCCCCACAATCCCATCATCACGTAATGGAGTACATGTAAAGGAGATAAATTTACCAATGGCATCTTTGGTGACACTATATTGAAGACGACCTGAAACCTCAGGTATTACCATACCAGGGTCAGTCTCAACCTGCAGATAGCCAAAAAAACAGATGAGTTTCAGGGTAAGAAACACTGACATGAAATGACAAGTGTAGGTCCACCTGCGTAATCATTATTGCACTAGAAGAAGATAGACGCTATAGGCTACCTAAATCACATCCAATAAATTCTGGCAGGGATGCCATCTGTCAATATCACATGTTTCATTCATATAGAAATTGATACCTAAGCTAGACTATGTAAATAGGATAATATGTTGACCTTAATTACAAGCCAAATGGTCTGAATGGCACAAACCAACTAGTTGGGGTTTAAGAGCTACACCACTAAACTGAATATCAGTGTAAGTTGAATCAAACTGCTTAGTTTGCTTCAGTTTGGAATAATGAGGTCTGAAGTTGAAGCATGGATATTTATAATTCCTGGCTTAGGGCAAATGCAATCACTGAGATTTTATAGTGGATTTATGAGGATGTCTCGCCAAGTTTCAGATGAGAATTGCTTAGACAATGGAAGTATATGGCGGGTGTTTGTGGTGCGGTGTCAGGTGTGGTTTAGAGCCGAAACCACATATGCAATTTGAGTTTTTTCTTCCAAACCACAAAACCACATAGTGCGGTTTGACAAAAATACCCATGCAATCACTTTGAACAGCGTTTTGTAATTCAAAACCGCAAACTGAACCTCATACTGTGGTGGTTTGACAAAGTTACAAACCATAACCGCACCGCAAAAGTTCTAACCATGCGGTGCAGGAGGTTTGTGCAGTTTAGTGGTTTGATGAATACCCCTCTCTTGTGGTAGTGAAAAATTTCTATGAGATTGATCCTCTAGTGAAACTTTGTTCTTGGCTATGTGGATCTCATATTCATTCACCAGATAGCCTCATCATATTATAATGTATTGCATATAATCAGTTGCAGCCAAGGTCCTCTTTCTGTCCCTTGGAGCCAGTGCTATCTATGGCATTTTAATGAACTGCATACAAACTTTGTGTTGGAATTATAGGCTGGTTCTCGGATGATTAGAAGATGATTTCTGGGTGATTATAGGCTGATTTGAGGGTTGACACTTGAGATTATTGTACCTGTAGAAAATCTAAATATTTGGTCTACTAATTAGTTCTTTCCTATTTTGTATATTTCTTACACTATAAATTGCCACATAGCTTTTCAATTTAAGTTGTGCTTGTGCATTCAGACTTCACTCTATTCTTTTGTCTATTCTTCTCTCTATCTAGGTTTTTGATTTACACTGGATAACTTCCTTCTCGATATTGATGACACCTTCACTGCCTTTGTAAAGCATTGCTCGTATTTTAGGCAAATTTTCTAGGCAGTTGCATGTACAAGTTCAGGTGTGATAGTATAATCTCAAAATACTAACCCCGCAGTTCCAAAATTAGTGTCAACATTTCCATTTTTTGATGTATACATAATATATATTGGCAAATAATCACACATCCTCTTCTACTTTGGTGAGGTTTGAACCCTTAACCTCATAGAGGCTGGGATGTACCAGTAACCCGGATACCACAATGTCGATTCCCCTTCGGTAGCGTTTCTATTTTAGTTTGTCCCCAAATATATGTCCACTTCCAAAAATAAGTGCATACTTTCAAATTCTACCCTTAATTATGAGATGCAGAAACTAATTACTTCCTCAATTATTAAGGGTAAAATTGTCGGTCAATTAAAAAGTGTAATATTAAATATTTCTAAAATTTTGTGCCTTTTTCATTGTGGACATTTATTTTGGGACGGGAGAGTACTTAAAGGCACTGACATGTGATGATATATGTCATAGAAAATTTTAATTGTTAAATACCTCATGAAGATACCAATTGTAAATGCTCTTTCCTTCGTGACCACCTATGTACCCATAAGATGCTGTCAGCATTCCACCTTCCGAGTAATCACCGGTTATGGATAAGAAATTTAAATTTGGGGGAAGAGCTGCAAATGTTCAACAAACATGTTTAAGAAGCATTTACCATCAAGACTGGTGGAACAATGTATAAACAGTATACTGACATTTTAATTAGATCTTTGTTTTAGGTGAATGATATCATGTACTTGCAAGCTGTAAACTTGGTATCAAGTCTAACAAGAATCTAATTAATACATAAAATAATCAATAACCTAAAACTGCATCCAGGTCCAAGATTATTTTATTAATCAGTGGCCCTATTCAACGTAAAGAGATAAATTTATGCTGTCAGAACTCAAAACAACAAAAACATCTAATCTTGGAAAGAGAAGTTTGCAGTAGTTTCCTCTCTCCCCCCCCCCCTCTCCCTCCCTCCCCCCACTCCAGGTCCTGTTTTGGAATTTCAATTGGCCTCCACGAAGGGTAAAGAAAGGTAAGGAACTATGATTTAACAAATGTTGTTCTGCCCTCTACAGTATCAGAGCATCCGTTGACATTTGTGATTTGCTGCTCTGAGTTATAGTGCTCAATTTGCAAGAGAGATGGCTGAAAGCATTTGTTTAGTTGCATACTTCAGCAACAATGTTGGCAGAAGCCATGGAAGGCAGCTAAAAGCTAAGGCTAACTGTTATTGGTTGAGAGTATGGTGGGGATAGGGCAACAAAGGGACCCAAAAGAGCTCTTTGCTACTGAAAGAAAGAGGTAATACGTAAAGTACATAGTGGACTAATGACCTGCAACAACTTTAAGCACAAATATCATATGTACTTAACAACATTCAACATAGAAACTATGTTGCATTGTACACAAGCATTATTAAATACCCCCTTACAGTATTTAGAAATTTCAACCATCCCCGAAATACCTTGTCATAAACAGGTTTAATTTTGTTATGAAAAGTGTTTATGTGTCCATGCTCAGCTACTGACACCAAAAGAAATTACTGTGGTCATGAAAATAGAAGGTACTCTCCAGACTTCAAATTTTATAAATTTGAAGTGATTTAAAAGGGGGTTATTTTTACTAAAACCCTATATATTTCAACAGTGTGTTGGAAACTACATATTTCTGAAGAGATCAGCTGTATGATATAAGCAGTGTAAACGATAAACATGGTATGTTGGAGCAGGCCACCATATGCTAGCACTATAACAACCATGCAATTCCACTATGCAAGCATGTAGAATTTCATGGGCCTGAAAGTTGGGTCATGGCCAATATTATCATCAGAATTGTTTGCTCACATGTCTTGTATGTCTAAATAAAAGTTATTTCTTATATTTGTGAACCATATTAGTAATCATAAGATTATGAGATTCACTTACTTTCGACAGCTCTATCTGATATAACAAATGCTGGTTCACCAGATTCCCCATCTGCATTAACAGGAGTAAACTTGGCAACAATGTAGCATCCGACAGCCCCTAAAGGTATGCGAAATGCCTGACATGAACACAATTTCTCAACTAGAATCATGGGTCAATAGATGTGTTACGGATAAACACCCATGATAAGATCACCAACCTTGGCCAATTTTGACGTGCTTACTGCTTCAAGACCATTCTCACCATCAAGAATTGAGGAAAATGTTTTGAACCACTGAACTTTGCTAGATCCTTCAGTAGCTCCAGTCACATTACTCGTCACTGTAACCTTACTTCCCTCCCTCAAATCACCAAATATCTTCAGGTCTGTTACTCTCGGTGGAGCTGAAATTTTAATCAGGAGAAAAGCAAAGACATGGATGAATTAAATGACTCCTACCAGCTTGTCAGAGACTATAGTCCAACTACTGAAAGTGATGCAATAGCTGAAGCAAAAGCACAAAGGAAAGTATAGAAAAGAGAATTCTGAATATTTGTCGGAGAATGCATATACAAAATTTATGTCATTGATTGAGATACAAAAGGCTCTAGTGACAACTTGAAAATGCAACTCACTTATCCAGTATTCCCAAAGATTAGAGCTATAACTAATGCAAACATCTCAGGCCCTCTAAGAAGGGTACTTTACAATGCCACATCCTCTAGCACAAACATTAGTAGAAGATGTATGGTGCATGTAAACAACAAGTACACATATCACATGTATTTATGCAGCCATATATTCATATAAACATCCATGTACATACATACCTATGTATAAACATGAGGGAGATAAGTGCTTTATTACTTAATAGAACTGAATGGTCTAGCCTCTAGACCTCCGATTCAACAAGAGGGCTTGAATGTTAGTTAAAAAATTAAACACATCTGCATTGTCACATAGCCTCTAAATGGTTAAGCAGTTCACTCTTGGTCTATCCAGACATGCCCTGTGAGAATTTTAAAAAAATTAACAAAAATATCATTGGGCATCTCTGGAGTTCAATGCTTCACTTGCTTCGACTGTTTTAGTTCATTATTTATCATTTCCAACTTTAACTACAGTTTTTTCAGTAATTACTTTTATTCATTCCAACTTCTATTCCAAAAAGATATTCTATTCATGCTGACTTCTATTCCAAAAAAATATTGTATTCATGCTGACTTCTATTCCAAAAAGGTATTCTATCCATGCTGACTTCTATTCATGCTGACTTCTATTCATCTCTAAAACTAAGTGAGACAACCAAATTTCAATGATTAGGAGACCTATAAGCCTTTCATCCAAACATCGAAAAATCAATGCACTTCAAAGGACTGTGATTGTTCATTTACTTGTCAAATGTAAGTTGTCATGCTCTAACATCCATATATTCAGATTTTATAAAATGGCCAAAATAGTGCTAGTTTCTGGACCTGATATAGTTAAAGGTGTATAGGGATGGAAGGAATGTCAGTTGGCTTTGGCCACAAACGCTTCGTTAAAAAATTGTTCAATATATGTACTTGTAAAGCAGAAAAGGTAGTGATAAAAAGCCTGGAGTGAAACTACTTCCACATGGAGTGTCTTCTTAATATAAGCTGCAGCGCACATTTTTTTCTTTTCTTTTTGACATGATAAATAAGCTTCATAATACATTTTAATGTCAATCTTGCACGAAATCCTACTTATCAATTATCTAAATTCTAAGCTACTGTTGTTTATCACAATCAGCTAAAAATATTAACTTGGAAATAATGTATAATGGAGTTCCCAATAAATCCCCGGAGGTTAAAACTTGGGAGAAAGAAAGAGCAGCCAGAAAAGACAATGGGAATATAGTACAAAATAAGATGCATGTAATTTACCAAAGGGCCTTTGGCCTAGCGGTTTTGTGAGTCCTTGGCTTACTAGGAGGTCAAGGGTTCAAACCTCACCAAAGGTGAGGAGGATGTGTGAGTTTATTTGTTCTATTTGCCGTCTATACATATTATATACTTCAAAAAAAAGATGCATATAATTTCAGTGGGGCACTAGACTATTTTTTCTGTGCAGTGTATTGTTTGTCATTATGAAACACAAATAAATAAATAAATAATACTAGTAAGAAGAAGTTCCCAGCGTTCAGTGTTATGTTTACTGAATGTCAAATAAGATTACAAGTACAAGCTGGAAATGAATACAAACATTCATCAATTGATTCAATTCTTTTTTATGAAGTATATAATATTTGTATACGACAAATGCAACACATAAACTCATACACCCTCCTCACCTTTGGTGAGGTTTGAACCCCTGACCTCCTAAGAGGCCAAAGACTACAAAACCGCTAAGCCAAAGGCCCTTTTGGTTTGATTCAATTCATAACAGCAAAAGTATTTACAACAAACATCACTGCAGAACGACCATTGATTCCTAAGCAGTTTTAGTTGTATATAAGTACCTCAATTCTTAACAGCAAAAGTATTTACAACAAACATCACTGCAGAACGACCATTGATTCCTAAGCAGTTTTAGTTGTATATAAGTACCTCGTTTGACTATTGGAGACAGTATTGACGAAGATTTTCCTTCTTGGCCTGTACGTTCAATAACTAATCAAATTATAGTCATGGAACAGTCAAGTTTGCTGCATAGTCAAGCCTCAGAAAGAAGTTGGTTAAACCCTGCTCCCGTTAATAGTTAAATAAAAATTGAAGGACGTAAGAACAGAAATTAAAGCATAATGAAACAACATGTGGGTTAACTTTTTTGCATGGTAATAATATATGTAGTCAAAGAAGCTTTATAACTACTTTAAAATGCAAGAGATTGCGACTGACCCTCGAAATTTACAGGAAGGTATACGAAAGCCAATCGCGAACCAACATCTTCCTTGGACAAACTATACTCATTCGTGCCAGTTAGCACCAGGACAAAGTCTCTGTCCAGACAACATAATTTTAGAATATATCAGAAACATAAGATAGAAAACCTAAATGATTATGCTGATAGAAATTACACTAAATTAGAACAACTTGCTTGAAATTAATGTAAAACCATTCTGTTGCTCTCTTAGACCACTTCATTATTTGAAAAGTTGACTTCAATTTACCTTTCTTTTATCATAGAAATAGCACATAAACTGAGACAAGTGAACAGGATATTTGAGAAGGCTTATCAAATAGACATGAGAGCATATAAAATCAAGTGTCTAGCAAATGCCCAACATGTATTCCGCTGAAACCTTGATGATGTATAGTCTAAAGATAAAAAGGCCATGCAGACGTTATCATGCATTGACAATGGATTTTTAAAGACAAGAGTACCATCTTGGACCTTGGATCCCCATGTAAGGTCCTTGGAGCAATTCATATCTGGCAGTAGGCATTAACTTACCTAAAGGAGCCTGAACTTATCGTCATAACTGGGTCTCATGACTAACATACACCGATCAGCAGCAGTGAGATACGAAAAGAGAGCCCAGAATTTTTAGCCAAGTGTGTGATAAGAGTCGATAAAAGGTTGCCAAGATTAGAGTATTAAAACCCTACAGCTTTCGAAAGGTTGCAGTCTCTCCCTATTCAATTGTAGAGAATTGAATTATAATAAATTGATCTATGTTCCAAAAAGGTAAACAATGAAGGTATTTAAACTAATAAGTGAAAGACTCCTAGAATAAAATGGATCCTAAAGAAAAACAAATAAAATAATTAAAATAAACATAAAATAGTTATGTGTAAACTTGAGGACTTATGACTTATCCAAGACTTGCTTTATCTTTATCTTATTAATCTGCCGTCCTCTCTTTCCTTCTAGAATATGTCTTTATACTCTGAAGTTTATCAATACCCCCACCCCCCCCCCCCCCCCCCCCCCCCCCCC